GAATGGGAGAGATCCTAACTGTAAATAAGAGCCCTAATCAGATATTTTCCGAACAAAGTAGATCAGTCAAATGAATGTTTATTCGTTTGTCTCACGATCGAGTCAGGTCAATCAGGCTGTCAATTGTGCGTACATCTATTGATCGTGATGTTCCGACTGCTATACTTCGTCTGGCGACGAGCTCGAAAGTAGACATGGTCTGGTGCTACAAGTGTGTTTTGGCGCGCTATTACAGGTTGATTTAAGATCTGTGTTAAACAATAAATCCTAAGAACAATTGCCATGTACGAACTTTTGAGAAGTTAAGAAAACTTGTAACACCGAAATCGACAACACACTCAACATATTCGTCACCTTAAAAAGCATTTGGCGAAGCAATCACCGCACTAACTGAAATATCTGAGTGTTATTTTAGCGATTAAAAGAAACTTACCAGGTCCCATGCTAACACGAAACTAAATCCAACTAACTTGAACTGCCATGTTGAATTTATCGGAAAATCGTCTGGTAATGCAACGTTGAATAATCTTTGGTATACTCTGTTAGAAACAATTGCCAGTAGTACTACGAAAACACAGAGGAACACGACAAAAGTCCGCATATTCTTTACAGTAACTCCAACTTAACAAAGTGGGATTCAATATCGAGCCCAGGGTCATTTGACTCCTTGTCAGCGGTATGGTTGCAACTTTTACATGACGTATCTAGTAATTCTTCATTCTACTCATTTACCTCTTTATTATTACTAACGCTTGTGAGCCCTCTTTGCCGAGAACTCCGCTATCCAAGTACTATGGCTATGATGGTCGAAGGTGAGTGTACCGTTGATTTATTGGGAGTTTCGGGAAGAAAGGCTCTAGATGCGTGCGTTAAAGTAATCCTAGTCGAACGAGCCTGGAAGAAAACTTGTCCAAGGTCGAACATGTACGACGACCTGTCCGAAGAGCCAAAGGTTGAAGATTTGATGGAAGCAAACCATACAACCATCGATCGAGATTGGCTCTGCGAAAGGATTCCCTGCATTCAGAAATTGTATATGGATGAACATGGAGCAAAAGAGCTCTGTGGACATAACAAAAGCGAAGGTCGCGAGGCTACTTCCAAACACAAAAGGGGAATGAAGCAACACGTTATTGAACTCCGAGCTAATGACTCAATTAGTGAACACACCGAACACGAAAGACTCGAAGCTACTTGTAAGGGTTTAAAGGAAACAAACAAGGGTGTAGACGAGCTCGGAGCCGAAGGCATTGGTGGATACGACGGAAGAAAAGCAATCGAAACCAATTGTGACCGTGTAAAGGAACTGAAGCATCCTGTGCATGGCTCTGGGTTTATTATTCATGACCATGTCGTTGTCACCAGCAAACATGTAATTAAACCAGTTTTAAACGATCAAGGAGAAGAATACGAAGTCTATATTTCCAATGCCACCTTTGGTATTCTCCCATGCAAGGTTTTATATGTTGACGAACGCCAGGATTTGGCAATACTCCTTTGCCAACAACTTAATTTAGAGAAAAATGGAATCCGTTCCTTGTTGCTGACGAACCATTCGTTGTCACCAGTTGTGCCAATTTTTTGTTTTGGTTATCCCTTGAGTTATAAAGGTGACAGAGCACTTGCTGTTTTTGGCAAAGTCTGTTCACAAGAGACTACATCAGACTCTCCACTTGTCCCACTAGATTGCCCTCTTGACTCAGGAAATTATGGCAGCCCAGCACTCTGTTGGATAAGTGATCAGTTAAAAGTAGTTGGTGTGATAACACAGAAAAACATTCATGGGATTCAAACACAGAATTGGAAAGATGGCATCAAATGTTTACAGGAATCATTGCCGATTATTGCCAATCCTCAAATACAGCGCTACCAAACAGCACCTTTGTTGACTTCTGACATAGCTTCAAAGTATTTGGGGATGCATAGTCTATATGACATTCTGAAGACACACAGTCCCTTTTGTGTAATTCCAGGAATTTGCTTAGTTGATTTTATTAAAACCTTTGCCAACAAACATGAAGGCAAGCATGAAGAAGAGTTAAGGGAGATAATCAATTGCTTTGATATTCTTTCTTAGTAATCATTATGAACTGCATTTTAACAATAGATTCTGTTGCTGTGCACCTGTTCAGTAATAGATCACAGATGATGTCAAAATGTGGTAAGAAAGTAGCTCACAATACTTTGATGTCTTCTGTGATCTATAGCTGTATGGACCAACAGCAACATGCAATCTATTTGTTTTATAAAGTAAGGAAGAAAGAATTGGTAATGGCAGATCAAGATGTGCACATGAGACTACAAACCTTAAAGGTTAGTCTTAGGATGTTGATATCTTACTTCTATGAATCACAAAGTTGTATGTGTGAACAATCGCGAGATATTGGTTAGGATGAAAGAAGGTAGTTTAGAATTTGATCTGATTTTACTTCAACTTTGAGGTAAAACTGCATTAAGTTTGAGGTGGCCCCTAACCTTCAAATCACTTCAAATAAAATTGTCTTTTCTTTCTCTTTGTTGTCACTCAGGAAAAAAGGCTCTAAAAATGTTCCAACCTTCGGAAAATTTGTTTTTGGGAGGCTGAGGTGGATTTTTCAAGTCATGGCTCACAACCATCTCTGGCCTTTTTGCCTTACAAGTCTGTGGTACATAGTATGTAGGCATGTGTCTGGACAGTGGTTATAGTCTTGCCTCAATCATCTCTTGTTTTATACTTCTTTTAGCTGTGATCTAGTGGGAATTTTTCCAATTGCCTCTTTGGGCTTGAAGTGCTTAGTGGAGGATAAACTTTGGTAGAATTTATTGATCACATGGCCCCCAAATCCTTCACCACTGCCAGTTCATTGTTTATTTATTTATCTTTCAGTCTGACCAATTCATTTACCTCCCAAAAAATGTGTGGGTATTGTCTCATGAGTTTGAACTGGTGCCGTTTTCTTCATGTTCATGTGTTATTCTAAACGAGTGGTGTCAGCTTCATTATGTCTTGTTTATTTCAGTAGAATACTTCTACCATGCAAAATGAATTTTGAATTGAAGTGTACTTTGAAGTATGAGAAGTGTGATACAACAAATGGATAATTACTCAAGGGGCTGGAATTCCTTGTTTCTTTGGAATGTTAACTACAGTATTTCTGTCATATTTGAAAACAAATTTCAGGTTGAAATATTTTCAAACTAGTTTGACTTGCATTTCACGTTGCCAAAAATGTCTAGATCCTTCAATTTGTATTTCTTGATTGAGGCTGATGATAGGAATTAACTTTTATGTTCTCTGTTGTTTAGGGAGATGTGAAATGGCCCCAATACATGCAGTTGGTACTATTGACAGAATGAGTAGGTGTGACATTTAATGTGGCAAGCTGGTATTCACAAGATTACAGGCTGGTGCTATTTTTTTCATCTGAAAAATTTACTCATGCTTACTTTTACCCAATTGCACCTGAAATCATGTGATATCAATACAAAACATCAGAGTACCTTTAGTTCTTGTACAGTCTTCATGTAAATGCAAGTGCAGATGCCATATTGGAGCAAATGTTGTCACCTCATCCAACTGGAGAGCTGAATATGTCACACAAACTTGAAAGATGATAGTGTTTAGAAGTTGTAAAGAGCCATCATAAGGGCAAGAGAGGTACTAATAACTTGTCGTTAGCCTCTACAGGAAGCATGTTGTAGGACAAATCCACTGGCATCCATTCCAGTTTAGCCTCATTATAAAAGATTTCCTTACCACAAGGCAAAGTTGCTCTTGGTTTCTGCGATTTTCCTGACTGAAAATACATTTTTGACATCTATTTCATTTATTTCAGGGAATTCTGTAATTATGTTGTGAATATTTAACAACCATTCACCAAAGTACAAAGTAACACTGGCACAGAAAGCTAAAATAGAGGGTGTTTTTAAAAGGCTGTAATATTGTTATGGTAACTTGATGCTAATTAAAACATTTTTTGAAAAAATTGGGCATTGTTTTATACCATTTGTTAAAGAGCAAATAAAAAGTCTGATAGAGTAGATCTATTACAGAACTGGTGTTTTACCAAATTCACTTGAGTCACTTTAAATGCAAACTCACCTGGTCATTAAAGCACCTAATTGTACACCAATAAATAGTCTGTGGTGGTTCACCCTGTTAAACTGAAAGCAGTGGTTGGTACCACCACCAAAATACAGAAAGCTTCTATGAGAACCTGCACACAGTACTTCCTTTACTAAGCACCTGGGCACTTTTGGCTAAAAGGAGGGTGCTTTTTCTCCTGTGCTGATTCTGCTGTAGTTGAAGCCTTAAAAGTTATAATAAAGTGGCAATAGAACAAGATTTCCTTGCATCCCTACCATTTGAGAAAGTGAGGGGGGGGCACTTATTCAAGAGGGGTGTTTGCTTTGAAATACCTATTGTAGCCTAGGGGTACAGGTTGGGTGCTTAAATGGGGGAGGGCACTTAGTAGAATGTGTGTGCTTATCCCAGGAGATATTGTATTCCACTGAACTCAGTCATCAGAAACTTGACA